TTGTTAGGCTGGGCGCGGTGGTTCACACCTGTAATCCCAGCACTTTGGGAGGCCGAGGCGGGCAGATCACCTGAGGTCAGGAGTTCGAGGCCAGCCTGACCAACATGGAGAAAGCCCATCTCTACTAAAAATACAAAATTACCCAGGCGTGGTGGCACATGCCTGTAATCCCAGCCACTAGGGAGGCTGAGGCAGGAGAAACGCTTGAGCCCAGGAGGCAGAGGTTGTGGTGAGCCAAGATTGTGCCGTTGCACTCCAGCCTGGGCAACAAGAGTGAAACTCCATCTCAGAAAATAATAATAATAATAATAATAATATTGTTATGAACATTTGTGTACAAGTTTTTGCGTGAACATCTATTTTAAATTCTCTTGGAATTGCTGGGTCATATGGAAACTCCATGTTTAACTTTCTAAGGAACTGCCACAATCAGCTTTTATTTCTTACAAAACCCAAAGTAAAAAATTATATATACTAAACAGTCAGAAGCCTGGGCAAATCAGTTACTCATCAGATACCAAGATGCAGCACTGATTTGCGGGAGTTTTTAATCACAAAAAAGGTTGTTTCAGAGAAATGGCTTTGAGGTGGAGAGAAAATAAAGGTGCTGTTTTTCTTTTTAAGATGAAAATGAATTTAAATCTGGTTCATCTCTAAGTTTTTGTTTGAATGGCCAGCTCTTGTGCAGCCAGTGGTCTCAGAACGTTCAGGCAAAGTTCCTCCCCAGAAAATTTGCACAGTCGAGGAAACTACAATATTTCTTAGCTGTCCAGTAGAGTCACATTGGTGGGGAACAGAGGGTCTCTGCAAACCTAGGATGTAACTAAGAGAGGAGCATGTGCTTAGGGTTGGAATAGGTCTGCCTCTAGTCTTTCCAGGGCATAAATCTTGTCAGAAAACACACAGAGTAAGAAAATCCCCAAAAGCAATTTGAGTTAATGGGAAAGAATCTCATGAAATGGAAGCGGCCGAATAGGTTGCTAGGCACTGAGAAAGCATAAGGCTTTGAATGATCCATAAAAGCTATAGGTTTTCCCAAATACCGCATGTTCTCACTCATAAGTGGGAGTTGAGCAGTGAGAACACATGGACACAGGGAGGGGAACATCACACACTGAGGCCTGTTGTGGGGTGGGAGGCAAGGGGAGGGACAGCATTAGGACAAATACCCTAATGTATGCAGGGCTTAAAACCTGGATGATGGGTTGATAGGTGCAGCAAACCACCATGGCACACATAACAAACCTGTATGTTTTGCACGTGTATCCCAGAACTTAAAGTACATAAAAAAAAAAAAAAAACTTTGAACATGGAAAAAATAATTCATAAAAAAAAACTATGGGTTTTCTCCCTAGAAAAACCCATATATCACAGCATTATTCCAGCACTTTCATAAGGTCCTCATATCACCCCTGAAGCCTATCTGTGGCCCCCTGTGAGTCTACATGAGTAGAGAGAGAAC